TCAAATGAAGTGCCAATTAATATATTAATTTTATTAAATAACTTAAAATGTATAAATGTATGTATGTATATATATATATATATATATATAATTTTATTATAAAAAAATAAAAAAAGGTTCTGACACAGTACACGTCATAAATAAGTCAATTCAAAGGAGTTTGAAAAAAAAACCTTAGCCAACAACCGAATCTTTAATGTTCCGAACCCCCTCCTTACCAAATCACCTACCGCACGTCGCTCTCACCGCATGAATTATAAAATTAAAAATTGAACGTCCAAAATGATTGATGAGGTTTGAAAATATTGGATTCAGATCCATGACATTAAAAATACAATAATATTATTTAATTCATACGCCACGAGTAAAGTCCTTCTAATTTAAAAAATAAATACATTTTAAATATATGGTTCTTATGACTGTGTATAATAATGTCAAAAAAATTGCACCCATTTCTTATGTATTTATATATCTAAATTTAAAATTTCATATTTATATATTTAAATTTTTAATATTAAATAAAAATATTATTATTAGTTTTTCATGCATAAAGTCTATGATATTTTAATATCATAGTCATAAAGATTAAATTATAGATGTTATGTATGTGAATACATAAATTTAAAGGGAAAAATATTATATCAGGACTCCTAATGTAGAGCTACGTTTGGAGTATATTGGTATGCGGACATGTGGCTTCAAGGAAACCTGCTCGCTTTCCTGTGATACAGCCCGGTAACACAGGAGAATATCCCTCCTTTGTTATTTTGTATTATTCAAGTGTTATTGTGGTGGTATTCATGTGTTATTGTGTTATTATAACACCGAGAATATTCCCAAAACACAATAACACATGAATACCACCACAATAACACATGAATAATGTGGAATAACACGGGAGGAATATTCCACTGCGCTAAAACGATTCTTTTTTTATTTTTCTATCACATCCACGTGTCCGCATATCAGTACACTGCGAACGTAGTTCTGCGTTAGGAGTCCTGATCTAATATTTTTCCAATTTAAAAGGTTGATTACATATATGGCACTCAAAACATTGCTAATTGCAAACCATGCACTCCTTTCATTCATTTTTCGAATTCGCACTCCAATATCAAAGGTAATGAGAAAATCCCAATCCATATTTTTTTATTTTTATCAAATTCATAATAGTTTGATCGTGACAAACATAAATGCACATGTTTCTTAGTTCAAAAAATAAACTAGATATTCGATTTGTAAATAGCAATATTTTTTATGGCTTATATGTAATTATCACAAATTTAAATATATGATATGTCGGTAGATTTGGAAAAAAGTTAACATTGCTTGAGAGTTCAGGCTGCCCCCAACAAACCCGATCTATCCCACCGGTCCACCCAACGTGGAGTCGTGGACCGTCACTTCACCACAAAAGAGCACTAGTAAATCACGTCCGTTCAAATATTTCAAATTGCATCTCGACTGCTCATCTCTACGACGGTAAGCTGCGGGGCCCACAGATTTACTCCACCAACCGAAAACCCTTACTGCACGCAGTTCCACCTCTTCCGAGCAATGCAGCTCTTTATATATCTCAGAGAGGAGTGATGAACAAATGTGTATCGATTCTTCTTCAAAAGTAAAAATCTGTCGTCTTCTTCGCTGCAATAATTCTGTAAGTCATGAATCGCTAATTTTTTTACTTCTTTTTTTTTTGGGACTAAATACCTTTATTTTACTGGATTTAGCTCACTTTCTTTTGGTTTCTTCTTCCCCTTTTTTGTATTGCTACTTGCTGTTCTTCCCTGTTTTTTTTTCTACCTGCATAAATGCTGTTTATTCATTCTGCAGGCCCACTTTATTTGGTAGTCTGTGCAGTAGTCTGTGCAATGGCGAAGGAATCATTGAATTCAAATGAGGTATGTGTTTTTGAATGAACGATGAGTTAGATTGTTAGTAGATTTGAGTAAAATATCTTCAGTTTATACTCTCTTTTTTTTTCAATTTGGTTTTTTTTCAATTTGGTACTCTTTTTTTTTTTTCAATTTGGTTCGGGTTTTATCTCATAGGTTGTTCTCGCTGAAGAAGTTGGACATGTATCAGTGATAACTTTGAATCGGCCTCGTCAATTGAATGTTATTTCATCTAGAGTGGTTGGCGAAGATTTGATGCTAATTTCTTGCTTCTTTCTTTTTCAATGGAAATCAATGTTAAGAAATGCAATGGATATTAGGTCGAGCTAGTAGCTGAATACCTCGAGAAATGGGAGCAGGATGAAGATATTAAACTTGTGATATTTAAGGTGGATTATTTTATTATTATTAATTACTGTTTTTTCTAGTTATTTGCATATAGATTGGTTAGACTTTTTGATCTATACATTATTTTCAGGGAGCTGGGCGTGCTTTTTCTGCTGGCGGGGATCTGAAAATGTTCTATGCAGGGAGAACTGGTCTCTTACTAAATTCAAAATCATGATTTAAATTAAAGTATTATCACATTCAGTAGTTTAGTGTTTGGAGATCCCTTTCAAGTCATTTATGCCTTTCTTTTATCTTGACAGATGATTTCTGTGTTGAGGTTGTATATAGGATGTATTGGTTGTGTTACCACATCCATACTTATAAGAAAACCATGGTAATGATTTCTTCTGTATTCTAATGATAATGGTTTTTACTACTTAGAATGAACAAATTGTCATTTTCTATTTTTAATTTTTGGATAAAATGCTAGGTAGCCCTTGTTCATGGAATTGCTATGGGTGGAGGTGCAGCTATGACTGTCCCATTGAAGTTTTCTGTTGTCACTGAGAATACTGTAAGTGCAAGAATACAAATTTATCTGGCAAGTGGGCATTTACTTGGATACCACCCAATTCTTATGTATTTACCCATCTAATACCTAAAATTTGCTTTTTTACATTTATATCACCCAAATCATTCATTTCACATATTGTTGGTATGGAATATGCACTGAGGGCTACATTTGGTTCACAATCAAAACCACATCGCATAAAATAGGAACACCGGTTTGAAAAATCTGGAACAAAAGAATCGAATAGAAGCTTCATAAAGTAAGCTAAGAAAAGCTCACCAAGATCACTACTAATAAAAAGTTTCACAACATTTTATATAGGTTATCGCTACGGTAAAAATCCCTAATATTTTTACTGCGGGGTTTTTTAAACTGCTAAATTTGATGATTGCTGCAAAGGCTTTTAGCAACAGGTTTAAAATTGTCGGGAAAAATTTTTAGCTGTGGTGACTATAGCAACAGTTTTAACTAGTAGGTATATGGCAGTGGTTTAAACCGTTTCTAATTTTAATATTTTTTTTAATTAGATTCATTTTGATGATTATACACATGTCAATAAACCTACATGCAGAATAAAAAATATATATGAAGAAATTTTTATATACATACAACTTAATTCTTCTAAATTTACATTTCGAACACCTAAACTCCAATTTTTACTTGCATACCACCTTACCTATGCGTGCATGCATGAAAATGTGTATTTGGCTTATTAAAAGTTAAAATGGTTGTATTTGTAATGAGATATGAGAGATTTGGGCATATAAATGTAAAAAATTCAAGTTTGTGATAGTTATGTAAATACATAGGAATTGGGTGGTATGCATGTAAATGCCTCGAACATGAAAACCAAATGAACCAAACAAACACATAATATATATGTAAGCCAAGTCCGAACATTTGTGCACTCAGGTTGTTGGCCTGAACTGTGATATGTTGGCTCAAAGAATTCCTAAGTATCACTGCGATCTTCCTGTGTTGAATAGGGATGCATTGTTGTAGAATATGAATTAGCCGGTCTACTACTTTTCTCATTGTTGGACACATCTCTAGAAATAGAAGAAAGAAATAAGCCAGAAATTAGATATTTCATTCAAAATATGTGTTTAAATAAGGGGTTACAATGTTTTACAAATAAATCCATATAACTTTTTAGTATTCCCTTATTATGAATAAGACCCTAAATAAGGTCCAATTCTTAATACTCCCATTCAAGATGGGCAAATGATATCCACTAAGCCATCTTGCCTAGCCAAATCAAATGGGCCTTGCATGATGGGCAAAAGATTTTCACTAAGCCCATCTTGCAACATAATCTAGCTAACTCCACTGAACTATGTCCTTTAGTGAAGCAGTCAGTCATCTGCTCTCCAGTAGCCACATAACTTAATTTCAACAATCTGTTATTCAGCTTCTCATTGTTTGATTCCATCGTGTTGCACCGAGTTGTTAGCGGATTGTCGAGTTGTTTTCACACCACAACTTCATTTGATTTTCTTGATCCACTTTGAGTTCAACCAATAAGGTTTTCATCCATATCAAATCTGCAACTCCTAGTGTCATGACTCGATATTCTGCCTCTGTAGTTGATCTTGCAACCACTGGTGTTTTCTTGCTTCTTCACGAGACCAAGTTGCCACCTACAAATATGCAGTATTCTGATAAGGATCATCCATCATCAACAGAATTTGCCCAGTCAGAATCACAAAAGCCCTCAATATCTACATGTTAATTCTTCTTTAATATTAATCATTTCCCTTGTGCACTCTTCAAATACCTCAGAATCTGATACACTGCATCTATATGACCATTCCTTGGATCATGCATGTAGCGGCTCACCACACGTACTGCAAATGAAATATAGGGTCGAGTGTGGCACAGATAGATCGGGCTGCCAACCAACTTCTGACATCTCTCACAATAATTGATTCACTTGCCTCTATACTAAGCTTGACCTTCTGATCGATTTGAGAGACTGTAGGTTTGCACCCCCGCATACCTGTCTCCATGAGAAGATCCAATACATATTTTCTCCGAGATAGGACCATTTAGGCCATGGACCACTTCATCCCAAGAAAATATCTGAGTTGTCCTAAGACAATAATTCATTATTCTACCGCCGTGAAT